CTCAGCAGGCAGTGTGTTGTCATTGTAAGATGTCACAAACTTAAAGTCACTGGTTCTAGATCCTGTTGTCAGGTATGCGTCATAATTGTAAGCGCTGCGTAAAGTTCCTGTGCCGTCAACATCTGCGTAATTAGGAGGAAGATAAGCGCTGGGGATGGCAACTGCTCCATCAAACAACAGCCTGGGCTTTCTCCTGCGACAAAACCTCACACCCAGAATGATGATGATGAAGGTCAGAAAAAGGTGGACACAGAAACCAGCGCGATGATCAGATAAGAGGTCAGTTTGGAATTCTTCTCATCATAAGAAATATCCTTCAGTTCTGGCACCTCAGCCAAGTTATCAGAAATAAGTAAATACATGGAGCAAGTGGCAGAGAGAGAGGGCTGTCCGTTATCTTTCACTGACACAATAAGGTTCTGTTTCATGCTGTCTGATTCAGAAATGTCCCGCTGTGTCCTGATCTCTCCGCTGTGGAGACCAATAGTGAAAAGTCCCGGATCAGTGGATTTGACTATATGATAGGACAGCCAGGCGTTCTGTCCGGAGTCCGCGTCCACTGCTATCACTTTGGACACCAGAGAGCCTCCGTGTGCAGCTTTGGGGACCAGCTCGGTCATGAACGAGTTGCCCTCCGGGGCGGGGTACAGTATCTGAGGAGAGTTGTCATTCACATCAGATATAAAGACACTGACGGTCACGTTGCTGCTGAGTGGAGGAGAACCGTTGTCTCTGGCCATCACGTGGACTTTAAAACTCCTGAACTGTTCATAATCAAACGACCTCACAGCGTGGATCACCCCCGTGTCTCCGTTAACAGACAGATAGGAGGACACAGGGGCACCGTTCACCTCACCAGCTAACAGAGAATAAATCACTGTACCGTTTTGTCTCCAGTCGGGGTCTCGAGCAGTAACGGAACATAAAGTGGAGCCAGGTTTGTTATTTTCAGTCACATATGCGCTGTAGGTCTGTTCCTCAAACACAGGTGGGTTGTCGTTGATGTCTGCTAAAGATAACTGAACAGTTTTAGAGGAGGACAGAGGTGGAGAGCCCTCGTCAGTGGCAGTGATTGTAATGTTGTAATCAGACACTAGTTCACGGTCCAGTTGTCCTGTGGTCACCAGAGAATAATAGTTTTTAATAGAAGGAACCAACTTAAAAGGAACGTTTTGCTGAATGGAGCAGCGGACCTGTTGGTTATTCTCAGAATCTGCATCTTGCACATTAATGATGCCCACCTCTGTACCAGGTGACACATCCTCCGGTACTGGATTTGCCAGAGATTTCACATAGATTACAGGTATGTTGTCATTGACATCGGTGACATCAACTACTACCTTTGTGTATGACGATAATCCTAAACCATCTTTAGCTTTAATGCGCAAATCATAGGTTGTAACACTTTCAAAGTCAATCTCACCATTTACTTTTATTTTTCCATTTTTACGGTCAATACTAAAAACTTTCTTCACATCTTCTGAAACATGTCCAAATTCATAGGTTACATCTCCATTGACTCCCTCATCTGCATCAGTTGCACTCACTGTGACCACCACAGTGTCTAAAGGAGAGTTTTCAGGCAGACGGGCTTTATAAACGGCCTGACTAAACACTGGGGCGTTATCATTAGCATCCAGCACAGTGACGTGTATGACTACAGTACCTGATCTCTGAGGAGAGCCACCATCTAAAGCTGTAAGGAGCAGATTGATCTCTTGCTGTTTTTCACGATCAAGCTCTTTATCAAGAACAAGCTCTATTGTGTTTCCATTAGAAGCCAAAATGAAATGTTCATTCTTCTTCAGGCTGTATTGTTGAACTGAATTTTGTCCTACATCCGCATCGTGGGCCTCCTCTATCACAAAACGAGCTCCCCTGACTGCAGACTCTTGAATTTCTATATTAATCGATTCTTCCTTAAATTGTGGGGAATTATCATTAATATCTTGAATGTGAAGACTGAACGGATGCAGCTCCAGAGGATTTTCCAGTACAAGATCGCGTTTTATGACACAGGACAGCTTTTCGCCACAAAGCCCCTCTCGGTCGATCCTGTCTGCAACAATTAAATCTCCGGTACTGAGACTGATATCACAGTAACGCTTGCGATTCCCTGTGGCATCAACACGGGCATTTCTAGCAGACAGTTTACTCGAGTCCAGGTTAAGATCCTTCGCTATATTCCCAATAACAGATCCGCGCTTCATTTCCTCCTGAAAGGAATAGCTCACGTCCCCATTCACGGTTTGCCACATCAGAAAGAAAACGAAGCAGTTCCGTTTGAGCGCCATCACGGCAACGCGTGTGTTACAGAAAAAGGTTCTCTTGTAGTTTACAAATTCAATAAGTATTCTACAGTTCAGTCAAAAGAAAATCGACCGCACTCCTCAGCTATTCCTGCTGCACCAAACTACCAACAGCAACTGAAACATTAGCATTTTATTGATCTATATCGAGAGGGTGGAGTAGAAATGTTTCACATAGACAGGCGAATAGCGACACCGTGAGTGGAAAGATGAAATGACAAACTGTACATATACTGTTATTATTACTTTTACTATTATTATTATTATTATTATTATTATTATTATTATTATTATTAGCAGTAGTAGTAGAAGAAATGTAATAACAATTACACTACTACTACAAGAAGAATCCTACATTTATAGAGGAAGTATATTAATCAGTTTAAAATTGTATGCACCATCATAACCTAATACAGGCTATGGGTCAAGGAAAAGTTTGTATTATACTTATTTATACTCATAGATGAGTTGCAGTCATTAATTTGAAACAACGAAGTTGGTTTCCAATACAATGTAATATGCCACGTCTGCCCCTGAAATATTATCATTCAGCCATTGTAAAGTAAGTCTCTAACAAATAAAACCTATGATATAATCATGCACAGGATAAATATTTGAATAAAATTCATTCTTACACTTTATTGAGATGCAAAGACAGCGACTGTTGAATCCAAACAAAATATATCTACTGAAAAGTGCAAAGGCATGATCAAACCCAAACAAAGTGAATGTCCTGTAAAGAACCATTCCATGCAACCATAGATAGATAGATATGAATAGGTGAGACAATATATTTATGTTTGAGAAGGCAAAATTCTCTCTCAATCCTATTAGAAGTAACATAAACCACAATAGAACCATTATTTCTTAAGACTCAAAAGGTCCAATTTAGAAACCCCCACAACCACTCAAAGCGTTCTGAACGCTGTATTTGACGTTTTTGATTCAACATAAATCTATGTCTTCTGCTTAGATTTTGCCATGATTGTGAAAAATATCTTTTTCCACAATGAAAAACATATATGTCTTGTAGGAAGCAGTTTCCATACCGTGATCATCTTATATGGCTTCCTCATGAGTAAACTGCTAGATCATCATAAACCCCTATACAAGATTTATTAAACACATATTGAGGAGGCTAGATCCATGCATGGGCAATGAAGAAATATGTTTACGCAACCACTTCTTCAATTGCATCTCATTATTACGAAAAAGAAAGGGGAAAAAAGAAAGAGAAGGTGAAGTCTTCTTGTACTGCAATTAAACGTATTATGAAACATTCACACTGTGACTTTAGTAGAAAACATAACACTATTTTTCAGTTTTTCATACATCTGGAGAGACTTCAGAATCTCCAAATGCATCAACAAAGCATGTTAGACTTCTCCTCAGAGTCTGCTCAGCAGGAAGTGTGTTGTCTTTTTAAGAAGTCACAAACTTAAAGTCACTGGTTCTAGATCCTGTTGTCAGGTACAGGTACAGTATCATTGAGAATACACAGTCACAAACACACCAGATAACAGAGACGATATATTCACATGCAAACATTAAGCAAGAAATACCTAAATATATCAACACAATGTACATAATAGTACAATCGCTAAAATAAATCGGCAAACTGGTAAAACGTGACAACATCATAAAACAAAGAAGTAAACTATCTCTAACAATGCAACAATACGTCAAACTGAGTTCAGCACCAAGGACAGAGAAACAAGCAGTTTTCCCTTACTGGAAAATAAAAAAGCAACAAGCAACCAGATGGATTCAAAGAGACTCTAAATAAACAAGTTCTCTCAAACACAATGAAAAATCAACCAAAGCCTTAACTGTAGACATATAAAACACACGCGTATAATCAAATATTATGGGTGGGCAAAAGTAGGTTAAAACGACCAATGAAAGATGCATTGAAAGTTGTTCGACTTATACGGACATATTGGTGAGATAAAGAGGGCAAATGTAAAGATTGTGATATCTAAACAGTAAATTCTAATTTGAGATTAAATCACCAACAACTGTATCAAGAATATTTTAAATCTCAACACTTAAGCCGACATCAGAACTTCTTAACAACCGTTGGACCTATTAAAAGAGTATATAACCACCATAAAAAAGAACATCACACTGAAAAGAGTCAAATGGGGGAAAAAAATGGCTTCTTCAGGATGATGAACACAAGTTCAGTGATATGAAATGTGTTCCTACCTGAGGAGAACCATCACAATCTCCAAAGTCAGCAAAGTCACTTGGACTTTTCCTCAGAGTCTGGTCAGCAGGCAGTGTGTTGTCATTGTAAGATGTCACGAACTTAAAGTCACTGGTTCTAGATCCTGTTGTCAGATATGCGTCATAATTGTAGGCGCTGCGTAAAGTTCCTGTGCCGTCAACATCTGCATAATTAGGAGGGAGATAAGCGCTGGGGATGGCAACTGCTCCATCAAACAACAGTCTGGGCTTTCTCCTGCGACAAAACCTCACACCCAGGATGATGATGATGATGAAGGTCAGAAAAAAGGTGGACACAGACACCAGCGCGATGATCAGATAAGAGGTCAATTTGGAATTCTTCTCATCATAAGAAATATCCTTCAGTTCTGGCACCTCAGCCAAGTTATCAGAAATAAGTAAATACATGGAGCAAGTGGCAGAGAGAGAGGGCTGTCCGTTATCTTTCACTGACACAATAAGGTTCTGTTTCATGCTGTCTGATTCGGAAATGTCCCGCTGTGTCCTGATCTCTCCACTGTGGAGACCAATAGTGAAAAGTCCCTGATCAGTGGATTTGACTATATGATAGGACAGCCAGGCGTTCTGTCCGGAGTCCGCGTCCACCGCTATCACTTTGGACACCAGAGAGCCTCCGTGTGCAGCTTTGGGGACCAGCTCGGTCATGAACGAGTTGCCCTCAGGGGCGGGGTACAGTATCTGAGGAGAGTTGTCATTCACATCAGATATGAAGACACTGACGGTCACGTTGCTGCTGAGCGGAGGAGAACCATTGTCTCTGGCCATCAGGTGGACTTTAAAACTCCTGAACTGTTCATAATCAAACGACCTCACAGCGTGGATCACCCCCGTGTCTCCGTTGACAGACAGATAGGAAGACGCCGGGGCACCGTTCACCTCACCAGCTAACAGAGAATAAATCACTGTACCGTTTTGTCTCCAGTCGGGGTCTCGAGCAGTAACGGAACATAAAGTGGAGCCAGGTTTGTTATTTTCAGTCACATATGCGCTGTAGGACTGTTCCTCAAACACAGGTGGGTTGTCGTTGATGTCTGCTACAGATAACTGAACAGTTTTAGAGGAGGACAGAGGTGGAGAGCCCTCGTCAGTGGCAGTGATTGTAATGTTGTAATCAGACACTAGTTCACGGTCCAGTTGTCCTGTGGTCACCAGAGAATAATAGTTTTTAATAGAAGGAACCAACTTAAAAGGGACGTTTTGCTGAATGGAGCAGCGGACCTGTCTGTTAGTCTCAGAGTCTCTATCCTGTACATTAATGATGCCCACCTCTGTACCAGGTGATACATTCTCAGGTATAAGGTTAGACAGTGATTTCAGATATATAACTGGAGCATTATCATTTATGTCTGTAATTTCAATTATTAAAGTTGCATATGACGCCAATCCAAGACCATCTTTAGCACTGATCTGAATTTCATATGACGATTCTTTTTCATAATCAATAGACCCGGCCACTTTAACTTCTCCTGTTTTAGGGTTCAGAGAGAACATTTGATTTTCATCTGAAACATGGTCAAATCCGTAAGTAATTTCACCATTCACTCCCTCGTCTGCATCAGTTGCACTCACTGTGATCACCAATGTATCCAGAAGAGAGTTTTCAGGCAGACTTGCTTTATAGATAGACTGACTAAACCCTGGTACATTATCATTAGCATCCAGTACAGTGACGTGTATGACTACAGTACCTGATCTCTGAGGAGAGCCACCATCAAATGCGTTAAGCAATAACATAATCTCTTGTTTGTCCTCTCTGTCTAATTCTTTGTCTAAAACTAATTCACCGTATTTTCGTCCACCTGCTTTTGTGTTTACGTTTAATTTGAAATTATCATTCTGCTGAAGCGAGTAGCCCTGAACAGCATTTTCTCCTATATCTGCATCGTGCGCTTCATCCAGGAGAAAACGTGCACCCTTAACAGCCGATTCCCGAATTTCAAATTTAAGTGAATCCTCTTTAAACTGCGGTGAATTATCATTAATATCTTGAACGCGGATACTAATACGGTGCAATTCTAGTGGATTTTCCAGTACGAGTTCCTGTTTCAGAACACATGACGCCTTTTTCCCACAAAGCCCTTCTCTGTCGATCCTCTCTTGCACGATCAAGTCTCCGGTGTTGAGATTTACGCCACAGTACTTAACGCTGTTGTCCTCAGTGTCGATACGAGCCTTGCGAGCAGACAGTCTGCCCGAATCAAGTCCCACATCCTTAGCGATATTTCCAATTACAGATCCACGTTTCATCTCCTCCGGGATAGAGTAGGTCACGTCTCCATAGACGGGCTGGAGGACAAGGGAAATAAAAGCAAGGCCGCAGAGCAGCGCAAACCTACTGTATCCCATTATAATGCGAGAAAGACCACATCCACGTTACAAACTCTAAGCTGGTCAAAATATATCAACGATGCTTTCGTGATTCCCTCCAATTAACAAATATGAACACGTTGCTGTCCTCCACGAAGCGGTTTATGTCAACAGCGATACAATGGCAGAGTGAGGCTTTAAATTCATTGAGAAAGAAGGGTGGAGAATGACCGTGCCTTCTCGTTAGCTGGTACACACTGACACCATGAGTATTTCTTAAGTTATGACAAGGTGATGTAGGATTTTGTTTTTATTTATTTTACATAATTTAAAAGGCAGATCGATAGTGACCAACAGTTGTGGCAAAGTTCAAGGACATTGGGCTGGTATTTAATTTCCTAAATAACAGAATAAGAGTATCAAATACAAGAGAAACTGTAAGGATAAAAGTACTATGTCTGGTATTTCTGCTACCTGCTCTGTCAAAACTAGACTGCGAGTAGTTGATATATTCCTTTTTTCTTGTACAGTGTTGGTTATGGAAGTTTGTACTAATGGGCAACATCATGTGGTCTTTAAAGACATACATTAAAGTTAAAGAAACACTTGAATTGCATGTGTCATTTTGTCAAAAGCATGAAGGGTTTATAAAAGCCTGCGTGTCATATTAATTTAAGCGACTACAGATTTTTCACTGACGCACAAATACAGTACATGATTTAACATATAGAGGGTAAAACTAGGAACGCGAAACTCCACTAGCTACACAGAATAAACACAGAGGGTCAAATTCGTCTCTGTGCTCTCGTAACGAGTTTATTTATAGGCTATGTTAATGGTGACACACTTCTGGACAGTATTATCGAGAAGACGCAGTCAGAATGACACCAGATAATAGAGACGACATATTCAAATGCAAACAATGAGCAGGAAATACCTAAATATTTCCACAAAATCTAAGTAATACTTAAATTATTGAAACAAATCCGCAAACTGCAACATCATAAAACAAAGAAGTAAACTATCTCTAACAATGCATCAATAAGTCAAACTGAGTTCAGCACCAAGGACAGAGAAACAAGCAGTTTTCCGTCACTGGAACATAAAAGAGAACAAGCAAACGACGAGATGGATTCAAATAGACAAGTTGTCTATTTGTCTACACTTTTAAAATCAACCAAAGCCTTAACAGTAGACATATCAAACACAGCGCATAATCGATTGGTGTGTGGGTGGGAGCAAAGGAAGGTTAAAATGACCAATGAAAGTTGCTCTAAAAATTGTTCTACTTATACTAACATATTGGTGAGAACAATGAGAACAAATGTGAAGGTTGTGATATTTAAACGGTAAATTCTAATTATTTTATTAGATTGAAACACCAACAACTGTATCGATGATAGCTTAAATCTAAATTACTTAGTCAAAATCAGGACTTTTTAACAACTTTTGAAACTATTAAAAGATTATTGAACCACCACAGAAAGAACATCAAACTGAAAAGGGTCAAAGAAAAGAACAAAATGGCTTCTTCAGGATGATGAACACAAGTTCAGTGACATGAAATGTGTTCCTACCTCAGGAGAACCATCACTGTCTCCAAATACGTCAGCAAAGTCACTTGGACTTTTCCTCAGAGTCTGGTCAGCTGGCAGTGTGTTGTCATTGTAAGATGTCACGAACTTAAAGTCACTGGTTCTAGATCCTGTTGTCAGGTATGCGTCATAATTGTAAGCGCTGCGTAAAGTTCCTGTGCCGTCAACATCTGCGTAATTAGGAGGGAGATAAGCGCTGGGGATGGCAACTGCTCCATCAAACAACAGTCTGGGCTTTCTCTTGCGACAAAACCTCACACCCAGGATGATGATGATGAAGGTCAGAAAAAAGGTGGACACAGACACCAGCGCGATGATCAGATAAGAGGTCAGTTTGGAATTCTTCTCATCATAAGAAATATCCTTCAGTTCTGGCACCTCAGCCAAGTTATCAGAAATAAGTAAATACATGGAACAGGTGGCAGAGAGAGAGGGCTGTCCGTTATCTTTCACTGACACAATAAGGTTCTGTTTCATGCTGTCTGATTCAGAAATGTCCCGCTGTGTCCTGATCTCTCCGCTGTGGAGACCAATAGTGAAAAGTCCCGGATCAGTGGATTTGACTATATGATAGGACAGCCAGGCGTTCTGTCCGGAGTCCGCGTCCACCGCTATCACTTTGGACACCAGAGAGCCTCCGTGTGCAGCTTTGGGGACCAGCTCGGTCATGAACGAGTTGCCCTCCGGGGCGGGGTACAGTATCTGAGGAGAGTTGTCATTCACATCAGATATAAAGACACTGACGGTCACGTTGCTGCTGAGCGGAGGAGAACCATTGTCTCTGGCCATCACGTGGACTTTAAAACTCCTGAACTGTTCATAATCAAACGACCTCACAGCGTGGATCACCCCCGTGTCTCCGTTAACAGACAGATAGGAGGACACCGGGGCACCGTTCACCTCACCAGCTAACAGAGAATAAATCACTGTACCGTTTTGTCTCCAGTCGGGGTCTCGAGCAGTAACGGAACATAAAGTGGAGCCAGGTTTGTTATTTTCAGTCACATATGCGCTGTAGGACTGTTCGTCAAACACAGGTGGGTTGTCGTTGATGTCTGCTACAGATAACTGAACAGTTTTAGAGGAGGACAGAGGTGGAGAGCCCTCGTCAGTGGCAGTGATTGTAATGTTGTAATCAGACACTAGTTCACGGTCCAGTTGTCCTGTGGTCACCAGAGAATAATAGTTTTTAATAGAAGGAACCAACTTAAAAGGGACGTTTTGCTGAATGGAGCAGCGGACCTGTTTGTTAGTCTCAGAGTCTCTATCCTGTACATTAATGATGCCCACCTCTGTACCAGGTGGGGTGTCCTCTGGTATGGGATTAGACAATGATTTTAGATATATAACTGGAGCATTATCATTCTTATCAGTAATCTCAATTATTAAAGTTGCATGTGACGCCAATCCCAGACCATCTTTAGCGCTGATCTGCATTTCATATGACGATTCTTTTTCATAATCAATAGATCCAACAACTGTAACTTCTCCTGTTTTGGGGTTCAGAGAGAACATTTGATTTTCATTTGAAACATGGTCGAATCCGTAAGTAACTTCACCATACATTCCCTCATCTGCATCAGTTGCACTCACTGTGATCACCAATGTATCCAGAGGAGAGTTTTCAGGCAGACTTGCTTGATAGACAGACTCACTAAACACTGGCACATTATCATTAGCATCCAGCACAGTGACGTGTATGACTACAGTACCTGATCTCTGAGGAGAGCCACCATCTAAAGCTGTAAGCAATAACGTAATCTCTTGTTTGTCCTCTCTGTCTAATTCTTTGTCTAAAACTAATTCGCAATATTTTCGTCCACCTGCTTTTGTGTTTACGTTTAATTTGAAATTATCATTCTGCTGAAGTGAGTAGCCCTGAACAGCATTTTCTCCTATATCTGCATCGTGCGCCTCATCCAGGAGAAAACGTGCACCCTTAACAGCCGATTCGTGAATTTCAATCTTAAGTGAATCCTCTTTAAACTGCGGTGAATTATCATTAATATCTTGAACACGGATACTAATACGGTGCAGTTCTAGTGGATTTTCCAGTACGAGTTCCTGTTTCAGAACACATGACGCCTTTTTCCCACAAAGCCCTTCTCTGTCGATCCTTTCTTGCACGATCAAGTCTCCGGTGTTGAGATTTACGCCGCAGTACTTAACGCTGTTGTCCTCAGTGTCGATACGAGCTTTGCGAGCAGACAGTCTGCCCGAATCAAGTCCCACATCCTTAGCGATATTTCCAATTACAGATCCACGTTTCATCTCCTCCGGGATAGAGTAGCTCACGTCTCCATTGACGGGGTGGAGGACAAGGGAAATAAAAGCAAGGCCGCAGAGCAGTGCAAACCTACTGTATTCCATTATAATGCGAGAAAGACCACATCCACGTTACAAACTCTAACTAAGCTGGTCAAAATATATCAACGATGCTTGTGATTCCCTCCAATAAACAAATATTATCACGTTGCAGTCCTCCACGAAGCGGTTTATGTCAACAGCGATACAATGGCAGAGTGAGGCTTTAAATTCATTGAGACAGAAGGGTGGAGAATGACCGTGCCTTCTCGTTAGCTGGTACACACTGACACCATGAGTATTTCTTAAGTTATGACAATGTGATGTAGGATTTTGTTTTGATTTATTTTACATAATTTAAAAGGCAGATCGATAGTGACCAACAGTTGTTGCGAAGTTCAAGGAAATTCGGCTGGTATTTAATTTCTTAAATAACAGAATAAGAGTATCAAATACAACAGAAACGTTAAGGATGAAACTGCTATTTCTGGTATTTCCGCTACCTGCTCTGTCAAAAGTAGACTGCGAGTATTTGATAAATATTCCTTTTTTCTTGTACAGTGTTGGATATGGAAGTTTGTACTAATTGACAAAAACATGTGGTCCTTAAAGACATACAGTTAAGTTAAAGAAACACTTGAGTAGCATGTGTCATATTGTCAAAAGCATGAAGGGTTTATACATTTCAGCGTGTCCAATTAATTAAACTGATAACGAATTTGTCACTGACGCGCATATGGATCATTTAACAAATATAGGACCAACCTAGGAACGCTAAACTCCACTAGCTACACAGAGCCTAAATTTTCTTCTTACTGCTCTTACACCGAGTTCAATAATAGCCTACGTAAATAGTTACACACTTCTGATGAGTATCATCGAGAAGACGCAGTCACAATGACACCAGATAATAAATACAACATATTCACATACAAACAATAAGCAGGAAATACCTAAATATATCAACAAAATCTACGTAATAGCACAATTACTGAAATAAATCAGCAAACTGGTAAAAAGTGACAACATAATAAAACAAAGAAGTAAACTACATCTAACAATGCATCAATGCGTCAAACTGAGTTCAGCACCAAGGACAGAGAAACAAGCAGTTTTCCCTGACTGGAACATAAAAAAGCAAGAAGCAAACGACCAGATGGATTCAAATAGACAAGTTGTCTCAAACACATTTAAAATCAACCAAAGCCTTAACAGTAGACATATCAAACACACGCGCATAATCGATTGGTGTGTGGGTGGGAGCAAAGGCAGGTTAAAATAACCAATGAAAGTTGCTCTGAAAATTGTTCTACTTATACTAACATATTGGTTAAAAAAAGAGAACAAATATAGAGGTTGTGATATTTAAACGGTAAATTCTAATTATTTATTAGATTGAAACACCAAGAAATGTATCGATAATTGCTCAAATCTAAATTACTTAGCCAACATCAGGACTTTTTAAGAACTTTTGGACCTATTAAAATAGTATTGAACCACCACAGAAAAGAACATCAAACTTAAAAGAGTCAAAGCAAAAGAAAATAATGGCTTCTTCAGGATGATGAACACAAGTTAAGTGATATGAAATGTGTTCCTACCTCAGGAGAACCATCATTGTCTCCAAATACATTAGCAAAGTCACTAGGACTTTTCCTCAGAGTCTGGTCAGCAGGCAGTGTGTTGTCATTGTAAGATGTCACAAACTTAAAGTCACTGGTTCTAGATCCTGTTGTCAGATATGCGTCATAATTGTAAGCGCTGCGTAAAGTTCCTGTGCCGTCAACATCAGCGTAATTAGGAGGGAGATAAGCGCTGGGGATGGCAACTGCTCCATCAAACAACAGTCTGGGCTTTCTCCTGCGACAAAATCTCACACCCAGAATGATGATGATGAAGGTCAGAAAAAAGGTGGACACAGAAACCAGCGCGATGATCAGATAAGAGGTCAGTTTGGAATTCTTCTCATCATAAGAAATATCCTTCAGTTCTGGCACCTCAGCCAAGTTATCAGAAATAAGTAAATACATGGAACAGGTGGCAGAGAGAGGGCTGTCCGTTATCTTTCACTGACACAATAAGGTTCTGTTTCATGCTGTCTGATTCAGAAATGTCCCGCTGTGTCCTGATCTCTCCGCTGTGGAGACCAATAGTGAAAAGTCCCGGATCAGTGGATTTGACTATATGATAGGACAGCCAGGCGTTCTGTCCGGAGTCCGCGTCCACCGCTATCACTTTGGACACCAGAGAGCCTCCGTGTGCAGCTTTGGGGACCAGCTCGGTCATGAAGGAGTTGCCCTCAGGGGACGGGTACAGTATCTGAGGAGAGTTGTCATTCACATCAGATATAAAGACACTGACCGTCACGTTGCTGCTGAGCGGAGGAGAACCGTTGTCTCTGGCCATCACGTGGACTTTAAAACTCCTGAACTTTTCATAATCAAACGACCTCACAGCGTGGATCACCCCCGTGTCTCCGTTAACAGACAGATAGGAGGACACCGGGGCACCGTTCACCTCACCAGCTAACAGAGAATAAATCACTGTACCGTTTTGTCTCCAGTCGGGGTCTCGAGCAGTAACGGAACATAAAGTGGAGCCAGGTTTGTTATTTTCAGTCACATATGCGCTGTAGGACTGTTCCTCAAACACAGGTGGGTTGTCGTTGATGTCTGCTACAGATAACTGAACAGTTTTAGAGGAGGACAGAGGTGGAGAGCCCTCGTCAGTGGCAGTGATTGTAATGTTGTAATCAGACACTAGTTCACGGTCCAGTTGTCCTGTGGTCACCAGAGAATAATAGTTTTTAATAGAAGGAACCAACTTAAAAGGGGCGTTTTGCTGAATGGAGCAGCGGACCTGTTGGTTATTCTCAGAATCTGCATCTTGCACATTAATGATGCCCACCTCTGTACCAGGTGACACATTCTCCGGTACTGGATTTGCCAGAGATTTCACATAGATTACAGGTATGTTGTCATTGACATCTGTGACATCAAGTGTTACCTTTGTGTATGACGATAATCCTAAACCATCTTTAGCTTTAATGCGCAAATCATAGGTTGTAACACTTTCAAAGTCAATCTCACCATTTACTTTTATTTTTCCATTTTTACGGTCAATACTAAAAACTTTCTTCACATCTTCTGAAACATGTCCAAATTCATAGGTTACATCTCCATTGACTCCCTCATCTGCATCAGTTGCACTCACTGTGACCACCACAGTGTCTAAAGGAGAGTTTTCAGGCAGACGGGCTTTATAAACGGCCTGACTAAACACTGGGGCGTTATCATTAGCATCCAGCACAGTGACGTGTATGACTACAGTACCTGATCTCTGAGGAGAGCCACCATCTAAAGCTGTAAGGAGCAGATTGATCTCTTGCTGTTTTTCACGATCAAGCTCTTTATCAAGAACAAGCTCTATTGTGTTTCCATTAGAAGCCAAAATGAAATGTTCATTCTTCTTCAGGCTGTATTGTTGAACTGAATTTTGTCCTACATCCGCATCGTGGGCCTCCTCTATCACAAAACGAGCTCCCCTGTCTGCAGACTCTCTAATTTCTATATTAATCGATTCTTCCTTAAATTGTGGGGAATTATCATTAATATCTTGAATGTGAAGACTGAACGGATGCAGCTCCAGAGGATTCTCCAGTACAAGATCGCGTTTTATGACACAGGACAGCTTTTCGCCACAAAGCCCCTCTCGGTCGATCCTGTCTGCAACAATTAAATCTCCGGTACTGAGACTGATATCACAGTAACGCTTGCGATTCCCTGTGGCATCAACACGGGCATTTCTAGCAGACAGTTTACTCGAGTCCAGGTTAAGATCCTTCGCTATATTCCCAATAACAGATCCGCGCTTCATTTCCTCCTGAAAGGAATAGCTCACGTCCCCATTCACGGTTTGCCACATCAGAAAGAAAACGAAGCAGTTCCGTTTGAGCGCCATCACGGCAACGCGTGTGTTACAGAAAAAGGTTCTCTTGTAGTTTACAAATTCAATAAGTATTCTACAGTTCAGTCAAAAGAAAATCGACCGCACTCCTCAGCTATTCCTGCTGCACCAAACTACCAACAGCAACTGAAACATTAGCCTTTTATTGATCTATATCGAGAGGGTGGAGTAGAAATGTTTCATAGACAGGCGAATAGCGACACCGTGAGTGGAAAGATGAAATGACAAACTGTACATATACTGTTATTATTACTTTTACTATTATTATTATTATTATTATTATCACTATTATTATTATTATTACTATTATTATTATTAGTAGTAGTAGTAGTAGTAGTAGTAATAGTAGTAGTAGAAGAAATGTAATAACAATTACACTACTACTACAAGAAGAATCCTACATTTATAGAGGAAGTATATTAATTAGTTTAAAATTGTATGCACCATCATAACCAAATACAGGCTATGGGTCAAGGAAAAGTTTGTATTATACTTATTTATACTCATAGATGAGTTGCAGTCATTAATTTGAAACAACGAAGTTGGTTTCCAATACAATGTAATATGCCAAGTCTGCCCCTGAAATATTATCATTCAGCCATTGTAAAGTAAGTCTCTAACAAATAAAACCTATGATATAATCATGCACAGGATAAATATTTGAATAACATTCATTCTTACACTTTATTGAGATGCAAAGACAGCGACTGTTGAATCCAAACAAAATATATCTACTGAAAAGTGCAAAGGCATGATCAAACCCAAACAAAGTGAATGTCCTGTAAAGAACCATTCCATGCAACCATAGATAGATAGATAGATAGATAGATAGATAGATAGATAGATATGAATAGGTGAGACAATATATCTATGTTTGAGAAGGCAAAATTCTCTCTCAATCCTATTAGAAGTAACATAAACCACAATAGAACCATTATTTCTTAAGACTCATCAGGTCCAATTTAGAAACCCCCACAACCACTCAAAGCGTTCTGAACGCTGTATTTGACGTTTTTGATTCAACATAAATCTATGTCTTCTGCTTAGATTTTGCCATGATTGTGAAAAATATTTTTCTCCACAATGTACAAACATATATGTCTTGTAGGAAGCAGTTTCCATACCGTGATCATCTTATATGGCTTCCTCATGAGTAAACTGCTAGATCAGAACAAACCCCTATAGAAGATTTATTAAACACATATTGAGGAGGCTAGATCCATGCATGGGCAATGAAGAAATATGTTTAGACAACCTCTTCTTCAATTGCATCTCATTATTAGGAACAAAAGAAAGAAAGAAAAAGAAAGAGAAGGTGAGGTCTTCTTGTACTGCAATTAAACGTATTAGGAAACATTCACACTGTGACTTTAGTAGAAAACATTGCACTATTTTTCAGTTTTTCATACATCTGGAGAGACTTCAGAATCTCCAAATGCATCAACAAAGCATGTTAGACTTCTCCTCAGAGTCTGCTCAGCAGGAAGTGTGTTGTCATTGTAAGAAGTCACAAACTTAAAGTCACTGGTTCTAGATCCTGTTGTCAGGTACAGGTACAGTATAATTGAGAATACACAGTCACAAATACACCAGAAAATAGAGACGATATATTCACATGCAAACATTAGGCAAGAAATACCTAAATATATCAACACAATCTACATAATAGTACAAGGGCTAAAATAAATCGGCAAACTGGTAAAAAGTGACAACATCATAAAACAAAGAAGTAAACTATCTCTAACAATGCAACAATACGTCAAACTGAGTTCAGCACCAAGGACAGAGAAACAAGCAGTTTTCCGTGACTGGAAGATAAAAAAGCAATAAGCAAACGACGAGATGGATTCAAATAGACAAGTTGTCTCAAACACATTTAAAATCAACCAAAGCCTTAACAGTAGACATATCAAACACAGCGCATAATCGATTGGTGTGTGGGTGGGAGCAAAGGAAGGTTAAAATGACCAATGAAAGTTGCTCTGAAAATTGTTCGACTTATACTAACATATTGGTAAGAACAAATGTAAAGGTTGTGATATTTAAACGGTAAATTCTAATTATTTTATTAGATTGAAACACCAACAACTGTATCGATAATTGCTTAAATCTAAATTACTTAGCCAACATCAGGACTTTTTAACAACTTTTGGAACTATTAAAATAGTATTGAACCACCACAGAAAGAACATCAAACTGAAAAGGGTCAAAGAAAAGAAAAAAATGGCTTCTTCAGGATGATGAACACAAGTTCAGTGACATGAAATGTGTTCCTACCTCATGAGAACCATCACTGTCTCCAAATACGTCAGCAAAGTCACTTGGACTTTTCCTCAGAGTCTGGTCAGCAGGCAGTGTGTTGTCATTGTAAGATGTCACGAACTTAAAGTCACTGGTTCTAGATCCTGTTGTCAGGTATGCGTCATAATTGTAAGCGCTGCGTAAAGTTCCTGTGCCGTCAACATCTGCGTAATTAGGAGGGAGATAAGCGCTGGGGATGGCAACTGCTCCATCAAACAACAGTCTGGGCTTTCTCCTGCGACAAAACCTCACACCCAGGATGATGATGATGAAGGTCAGAAAAAAGGTGGACACAGAAACCAGCGCGATGATCAGATAAGAGGTCAGTTTGGAATTCTTCTCATCATAAGAAATATCCTTCAGTTCTGGCACCTCAGCCAAGTTATCAGAAATAAGTAAATACATGGAACAGGTGGCAGAGAGAGAGGGCTGTCCGTTATCTTTCACTGACACAATAAGGTTCTGTTTCATGCTGTCTGATTCAGAAATGTCCCGCTGTGTCCTGATCTCTCCGCTGTGGAGACCAATAATGAAAAGTCCCGGATCAGTGGATTTGACTATATGATAGGACAGCCAGGCGTTCTGTCCGGAGTCCGCGTCCACCGCTATCACTTTGGACACCAGAGAGCCTCCGTGTGCAGCTTTGGGGACCAGCTCGGTCATGAACGAGTTGCCCTCAGGGGGAGGGGTACAGTATCTGAGGAGAGTTGTCATTCACATCAGATATAAAGACACTGACGGTCACGTTGCTGCTGAGCGGAGGAGAACCGTTGTCTCTGGCCATCACGTGGACTTTAAAACTCCTGAACTGTTCATAATCAAACGACCTCACAGCGTGGATCACCCCCGTGTCTCCGTTAACAGACAGATAGGAGGACACCGGGGCACCGTTCACCTCACCAGCTAACAGAGAATAAATCACTGTACCGTTTTGTCTCCAGTCGGGGTCTCGAGCAGTAACGGAACATAAAGTGGAGCCAGGTTTGTTATTTTCAGTCACATATGCGCTGTAGGACTGTTCCTCAAACATAGGTGGGTTGTCGTTGATGTCTGCTACAGATAACTGTACAGTTTTAGAGGAGGACAGAGGTGGAGAGCCCTCGTCAGTGGCAGTGATTGTAATGTTGTAATCAGACACTAGTTCACGGTCCAGTTGTCCTGTGGTCACCAGAGAATAATAGTTTTTAATAGAAGGAACCAACTTAAAAGGGGCGTTTTGTTGAATGGAGCAGCGGACCTGTTTGTTATTCTCAGAGTCTCTATCCTGTACATTAATGATGCCCACTTCTGTACCAGGTGATACATTCTCAGGTATGGGGTTAGACAGTGATTTCAGATATATAACTGGAGCATTGTCATTTATGTCTGTAATTTCAATTATTAAAGTTACATATGAAACTAATCCCAGACCATCTTTTGCACTTATTTGCATTTCATGGGATGAAACTTTCTCATAATCAATAGCTCCAGCTACTCGCACCTCTCCCGATTTAGAATCTAAGGAAAAAACGTTGCTATTTTCATCTGTAACATGATCAAATCCATAGGTAATTTCGCTATTTAATCCCTCGTCTGCATCAGTTGCACTCACTGAGATCACCAATGTTTCCAGAGGAGAGTTTTCAGGCAGACTTGCTTTATAGACAGACTCACGAAACACTGGTACATTATCATTAGCATCCAGTACAGTGACGTGTATGACTACAGTACCTGATCTCTGAGGAGAGCCACCATCAAATGCGGTAAGCAATAACATAATCTCTTGTTTGTCCTCTCTGTCTAATTCTTTGTCTAAAACTAATTCGCAATATTTTCGTCCACCTGCTTTTGTGTTTACGTTTAATTTGAAATTGTCATTCTGCTGAAGAGAGTAGCCCTGAACAGAATTTTCTCCGATGTCTCCGTCATGTGCCTCTCCAAGAAGAAAACGTGCACCCTTAACAGCCGATTCCTGAATTTCAATCTTAAGTGAATCCTCTTTAAACTGCGGTGAATTATCATTCATATCTTGAACACGGATACTAATACGGTGCAGTTCTAGTGGATTTTCCAGTACGAGTTCCTGTTTTAAAACACATGATGCTTTTTTCGCACAAAGCCCTTCTCGGTCAATTCTTTCTTGTACGATCAATTCGCCGGTATTGAGGTTAACACCGCTGTATTGAACGCTGTTGTCCTCAGTATCAATACGAGCCTTGCGAGCAGACAGTCTGCCCAAGTCAAGTCCCAGATCTTTAGCGATATTTCCGATTACAGATCCCCGTTTCATCTCCTCCGGTATAGAGTAGCTCACGTCTCCATTGATGGGGTGGAGGGCCAGAAACAGAAAAGCAAGGCCGTAGCAGTGAAGCGAAAACCGGCAGTGTCCCATTTTTCTGACGACAAAAACTCCACTAATATTCTAGTTTTCAATACAATATATCAATGATGCATTCGTGATTGTCTTTGCTGTTCCCAAGTTAAACTGAAGTCAAATTACCAACCAGTTTTAGTCCAGTGCTGCAGAATACTGGACTCTGGCTTTGCATTTGACGACATAAAGGGGTGGGGAATGAACGTGCAATCTCGTGTACTGGTGCACACTGACACCTTGAGTATTTTTTTAGATACAGCAGTGGAATTTGTGATTTTCTTTTGAATGGATTTCGAAAGGAAACCTTTAAAAAGAAACATATGAATCCTAAAACAAACTTTATACAAAACCTTTAGGATTGGCTTCCCTTACACTAACTGTGAAAGGACATATTATTATCTCATGTAATATATTCTCTCATCACAATTAGTAGTGGTAGGATAATCAAAATAATAATATTAATAGAAAAAGGAGAGAAAAAAACACTG